GTTATATCGTTATATCGAACAGCCCTAGGACAACTTGATCCACAGAGGCTCAAACGATCTGGTGCCAGACACCACAGGACACCCCTGGAGGACCTGCCTCGATGACCTGAGGGATCAGATTTTAGGATTTAGAAGCCAGGTGGGGGAACTATACTAAATCACTCTATTCTCTGAAAAGATTTCACTTTGAATCTTACAGATTAAAACGCTAGCACAAATGTGAAAACCCTGTTTTGTCCTGTTATGTTTCCCCTTTTACCAGCAGTCTGCAAGTTTACAGGAGTACTGTTTAGTTTGTGGGTGGAAATAGAAATAATTAAACACATTATGGTTTAATAGCAACTGTATGGTACTGCTGGGATGTCTGCGTATAACAGTTTCTGTGCCGTGTGGGTGTCCAGCCCCAACTTGTTTGATTGTATGTTTCTTGCTGCTCAAACTGCATGATGTGTGAAACTCTTTTTCCTTCTGCTTTCTATTGAGAGGACTTCAGGTTAAATGTCAGAAATAAACATGACAGCGATGACACTGGTTCTGTGGTTCTTCGAGATGCATTTTCCCACAAGCTGTGCTGACGCTAAACACTTAAAGAATAAACATTATAAAAACAGCACAATATGACAGAAACGAATGATAGTTGTTTGAATTTGAGCTCTTTTCATATCGATTATCTTTCAGTGTGAACAAAGCTTATTTAAAAGAAATGTGGATGCTGATGCAAACGCAATATCAGCTAGTCTCTATATCAGAAAAGATGAGCAGCTCTGTGGTCTTGCTTCTCTTTTTCTGCTCCCATATTTTGATGCAGTTTGCTAGTCACGAACTGCAATTGCAATTTACATGACAAAGCAGTTAAATATCTTTACAAAAGAAAAACTCAAGTAGAACTGATATTCAAGGATAATCTGACCCGTTTAGCTCTGCTGTGAATTGTGCTGTTAATTCTGGTCATAATTCCAGGAGATTTCCCTTGTTGGCTGTTAGTGATGATTACCTGATGTAATTAATGCAACACATTTGCACTTCTCCCACAGATGGCAACAACTCACTGCCTTTATGCATGTAGACACGATCCAGATGATCTGCTGAAGTTTAAACTGAACTTCAGAATAGGGAAGAAAGAGGATTTAAGTGACTTTAAATGGGGTGTGTTTTTGTTTTTTTGTTTTTTTTTCTGGTTTCTGGTGTTTATTTGGATGGTAGGGTCAGAATTTGTTGCACCGTACATGAATATTTAGGTTTGTGGTGCTGTAATGGTGTGGCAGATATTTTCTTGGCGCACTTTGGACCCCTTGGGACCAACTGAGCATCATTTAAAGGAACCTAATCCAAGGGAGGAACCATTGTTGTGTCTACACATAACTTTGGTACTAGCAGCCTGTTGCAAAAATGCATGATTTATTTCCATGTCTTTAGTTCAATCTGCAAAAAATGCCAAAGATAGCACAGTTTGACAGGCATAAAACAGTATTTGTGCATCAACAAGCTGATTCCCAAAGAGCTATTAATTGAAAACTTGGCATATCTCAGTGTGGTGTGCAGTCTGTCCAAGTGGAGGACAAAAAAGAACCATGAGGAATAAAATGAATCCTATCTACTGAAAACGTACAGTATCTAAAATTCATTACCTTAATAAATAAGACAAAGACCTGACACAGGACTGAGCGATACATCTATCAGTGCGCCCCAGGGCAGCTGTGGCTACAATGTAGCTTGCCATCGCCAGTGTGTGTGAATGGGTGAATGACTGAATGTAGTGTGAAGCGCTTTGGGGTCCTTAGGGACTAGAAAAGCGCTATACAAATGCAGGCCATCTAGACCTTCAGTGGATCCATCTACTGTTCACTGAAAGCACTTCAGAAATAGCTTCAGTGGAAAGGTGGAGAAACGCCTGAGGTATGCCAAACATCACAAAAACTGGACTGAAAACCAGTGACAACAGGTGGAGGCTCTGCCTCTGGCTTCATTTCAGTCAAAGGTGTTGGAGATCTTGTGAAAATCTACAGAATTATGAACACAGAAAAGTGCCGTCAAATTCTGATTCTGTGCAATACCATCTGGAAAACGTTTTATTGGCAATGGCTTCATTTTTTAGCACGACAATGATCCCAAACACATAGCAAATGCAGTACAAACATAACTGGATAGAAAAACAGTGAAGCATTCGTGGATTGGCCTCCCCAGAGCCCAGACCTCATCATTATTGAAGCAGTGTGGGATCATGTGGACAGAGAACAGAACAAAAGGCATCCAACATCCAAAGAAGAGCTTTGAAGAAGCCTGGAAACAACAAAATACAGGAAAGCTGCCTAAGAGAGTTCAGGATGTGTTAAAGAATGAATGTGATCCTTCTAACAAGTTGTTCCCAATTCACACTATTTTCTCCTAGAAAAAATTGTAAATAAAATACTTTATAAAGATGCTGCACTGTCATGGACTGCGAAACCTTGGCGGTCCAAACAATGCAACTCAGTGTGACGTTTAATGTCAAACTGCTCGCAGCCAGATGGTCATACGATGCAACAGATGTGGAAAATCACGCTGTTCCTGGGCAGGTCTGTGTGCGCACAAGGAGGCTCGCCAAGTCTAACTTATACTCGAGTCACCGTCGACACCGACAACTGACACCGATGAGGGATATCAGTGTGATCGTTATCTGCACAGGAACAGCATAGACATAAAGGATTATGCTCTACAATATGACCAAGGTAAGAGTCTTTGAACTTGATGAAAAACACTAATATTCATTTAAAAGTTATGTGAAGCCACAAAAAGTGTCTGGATTCAGAAAACAGCTGACATGTTGCTTTCATTGCCATCTGCTTTTGTTCTTTCTGATGATAGATTATCAGAGCAAACCTGTGGAAATCTTCCATCTTTCATGAGGGAGAAACACCTCTTGTATACCTGACAACAACACACACACACACACACACAAACTCAAAGGTAAACAAACCTCAGCAGGCACCTTGTAAAGCTGTTCAAACAACCCAAACCAATGAAACGCTATAAACGAGCAGGACGCCATGAAGGGACTGACAGAATGATTTACAGGCATTTACATGTTCAGAGACTGTAAACTTCACAGCGGTCTTTTAAATTAATTGTGATTAGTTGTGAAAAGGTCAAAGGTCACCTGAGAGGTAATTCTGTAATCCTCCACATCAAAGGTCTCCATAGATCCTCAAAGCATTCATGGTGTAACTGTGAATCACTGCGTGAGGTGACGTGCAGTATTTCAGTAGGAATAGGGACGCGTCCCCCGTTTGGCGTGCTTGATAACCCACCCGGTAGACATCACACCGTGAAACCTGACAGTCTCATGTAACCTGTTACACATGTTACACCAATCAGAAGTGATTTTTCTGGACTGTTGCATCAGTTGTTTACTGCCGATTTTCCGTCAGGCACCATTAGTTTGTTGCATCATTGCCAATCGCTGTGAATGGATGACGACTTGCCGCAACATCTGCTCCTCCCTTAATCTTTGTTTTAACCTGTTTTTTTTCCCTTTAGCTGTTTATTTCAAACCGCTTCAACTACCTTTCACCCATTCGAGAAATTACTTGCATTAGTTTTGTCAGTGTTCATTTTAAAGGTGGTGCATGCGGGCCCAAAAAGACATCGTGGCATCCAGAGGGAGAGCCTCAGCCTCCACGCCCTCATCTCCACGCTGTGATTGGATGATCCCCGAAGTGTTGGCTCATGTTCCTTCATATGTTTCTTAATCATTTAGAGGTAAACAGGAGACACATGAATGATTCGTGGAGATTTTGGGCACCAGCCGCTTCAGGAAGACATTAATCAGGTGAGCACCCGGTAACTCCTGATCGCTGGATTACAGTAGAAACAGTTTTGCTTAAGTGTCTGCATCCTGTGTTAGCTCATAAGTCTTGGTGGCCATGTTTTCTTCATTGGCTAGTGCTGCAACCTTTATGAGCACTTTTGTTCTACATGAAATGGAGCTCTGTTCAGCTTAGGCTGCACATTTACATGCCACAAATAGAAATGGTGTGGTGCATGGAAACATGCACAAACCCACACACACAATTCCAGCAGCTGTTTATTGAACGATTGATAATATTAGGCACAGTCTCGTCACAGCTCTGTGGGAGGGTGTAAAAACTTTGTATATGAGGTTGCTAGGCTATTGAGGGTGTCATACTTGAACAGTTAAAGGCAAAAGAGGCTGAAAGGTAAGACGATTTCTGTTCATAACAATATGAATAAAGGGTGAGAGGTGTATCATTACTGAATTAATCAGCTGTAACTCATTCTGTTTATGATATTTCTAACATTAGCCAGCTGTTATTAGTAAAAAAAAATTAAATAAGACTTCAGTTTTACTTGCAGCATCAGGATGTTCACTTGGGTATTGAAGAGGTTATTCTTCACGTGTTCATTTATCTCTGGCTCAAGTGTCAAAAATACAAAAATAGGTGCCGTGCTGCTGTAAATGCAAACGCATGTATTGTGACAGTATAACTCCCAATATAGCAACAAAATTAGCCACACATAACTTAAGCTTAAAGAGACACAGTAAAGTAAAATGTTAAAGCAGCAGTAGGATAGCAACAGCTCTATGTCAACTCGCCTCTACCAACCATCACCCTGAAACACTTCAATACTGTGTTCCTGCTTGACTCTTGATTCTAACGGGCCTTGCTGGCCTCTTATCTTACAGATCTTTGCACATCTTCTCAATACTTCCCTTTCTGATCTAGTTGAGAGGTCATGGAGGTTTTCTACGTCAATTCGTCTCTGCTCTTCATCTCTCACAGACCGCTCAACTCCACTGCGGTTGAGAAGACAGTGTACGAGTCCTGCAGAAACATGCCTGCCGTACTTATCTGGTATCTGAGCCTGCAGTTCACTAACATGTTCCTAGGCATCCCAGCTAACGTCACGGTGCTGTGGCTCATCCACAAGAACAAACGCGACTCTTCCACCTCTGACATCTTCATCCTTCATCTGGCAGTTCTGGACGTCCTCTTCTGTCTCATCCCTCCCCTGGAGCTCGTAAACCTCGTCTTCCTCACCACGACTACCAGCACCTGGTACGTCCTGCGCTTCTTCTACGGCATCAAAGACTCCTCGCCCCTCTTCCTTTCTTGCATCTGCCTGGACCGCTACATGGCCGTGGTCCACCCCATCATCTTCACTAAGCTCAAAGACCGTCTGCACAGGGCAGTCCTGGCCATTGTGGTCTGGCTGATCATTCTGGTCTACGCGGCTGCCAAATGCGCAGGAAACATCGTTAACTTCGACAAGGTCTTCACGGTGATGATCCTCGGAGCGTTCGCCTTCATGGTGTACTGCAACGTAGCGATCCTCTGGGTGCTGAGGCAGTCGCGGCCTGGCGGAGATGCCATGCATCCCGTGAAGAAGAAAGCCTTCAAGATGGTCCTCATTATCCTGGCCATCATAGTGTTCAACTACTTCCCACCTGTCGCACTCTTCCCCTTCAAAGAGTACTTTTCCCCTGATGTGTTTCGCTGCTATATTCACTACATCGCCTTCGGCTTGATGGACTTCAGCAGCACCATTCAGCCTGTGCTGTATCTGTCCAAGGAGGGGCTGCCATGGAGCATCACCTGCAGCCAGAGGAGCAACACTTAAATCCAGCGGGGCTACATGTATGTTGGATGTATTCGAACAAATGTACTGCTCCTGCTTGATTGCATGTTGAAAATTATGATTAATGAAACATTTACCAATGAGGTAAAAAGATCTAAGCGCCCTACAAGACCCCAGAATTTTGAAGTTCTTGGTTTAATTAACAAGAAGGGTCAGACCTACAGATAGCTCTGAAATAATACATCTTTAAGGGCTGTGGGAAGTTATAAAAATCATTGTTATTTTACTAGATTTCATAGGATAATTAATAAAGGAATGAGTATCTTAGAGGTTAGTTAGTGACACCCTCAAACAGCAGTTACAGTGGGTGCTGTCAGTAGGTGTGCTGTGACACTTTATGTGATTTCACTCTGCCACTGTAACATTTTCTTTAATTCAATTTTTTAAAAGAAAACCATGCACACCTATTGCTTTATATATCTGATTAAATAAACATGCATGCCCTTTTCGTCCTCGCGTGTAGCCATGTCCTCAGTTTGAGTCGCAAACTACAAGGAATCTAATGCACATGAGTGCAGACAACAGAGACTAATTGCATTTAAGGCAACGAGGAACACCAGCGATAAAATGTCATGTTTGGAAATCAGGCAAAAGCAATGGTGGACAGATATGAGCACACATTGGTGAGATGAAGTCGCCGCTTCCTTTTGGCAATATTTTACATATTCAAACCTCAGATACCTGCAGTCTGACCGCGATGGTGCAACAGGTCATAAATCCCTTTCATAAAGATGATAAATTTTCACATGCAGAGTCCCTGAAATTCACGGTGCCATGATCTTCCCTCTAAATTCACACAAATACTTGATACTTGTTGCAGCAGTGGTACATTTGATGGTGTTGTGGAAAATCTAACAATAACCTGCAACACACCCAGTGAGCTTGATTTGAAGTGGGTTTAGTAAACGCACTGCAATGTGGAGAGAGCATCCCAGTGAAAGAGAAAGTGATATTACTGTAACTAATGTGATATGATTAAATATGTGATTAATACACGAGAAAAGAAATCTGCCAATACAATGGCTGAAAGGACTTGAACCTAGAAGACAGAGAATGTGTAACCATTTTGCACAGAAGCTATTATCTAATTATTCAAGGCTCCTTATTTTATGATTTTAAAATAAACTTCTTCTTTTTTTTAAATTATCAGTAAAACCTACACTCAGTAACTCTTAGGCGGGTTTTTTTTTCTAAATGTATTAAAATCCAAAAATGAAGCTCCAATTTTCTCACGTTTGTTTAGTAGAAATCACTCTAGCTGCGCTTACAGCCCAGTCTTTATGTTTCTGCAAGCATTGCACACCTGGATTCTAGCACTGTTACATACCTATCAATGCATGAGACACTTCAGTGAAAGTAAAATCAGTTCACCTTACCACAATCTGAATACCACACTGTGGTGTGTTTTATTTTCATCGTGCACTGAATGCGTTTGAATGTTTCTGTGTTTTTTGTGCTTTTTTTTTAAACGTATAAAAGCTCAATAAAACATGAAAATCTGTTTTCGTTAATGCATCTCTTTAATTTAGACACAGATCACACAAACAGGCTTTAAGTAGCACACAGGCGGACAAATCTGTTCATATAAACTGATATACAACAAGCAGGTCCCACAACAATCATGAAGATGGGCTTTTACCCAGCCGTAATGTAACTGTTAGCAAGCCTAAGCTAATCCCCTAAGATCAGCATGACTTACAAAACAGTTACAATATTTATAGAAACATTCTTTTAGTGACGTTATTACACAGATACATTCCTCTCAGGTCAAAGGATCATGTGCTAACTCTATAGTTAAAGCTATATACAGCATTAAATTAATCTAATTTGACCACGCTGCTTATTATTAAGTGAATATGCCTGTGAGTGACATAATTATAGTGTTATTCTGGTTAAATTAAAATTTTTTAGACAGAGCCACTGTTGAAGTTAATCTTGTAGCAACGACTTAGTGTCTTAAACAAAGTCAATAATTTGTCTTTCAAAGTAAAGCATTTTTAAAAACAAGTCACCATAATGGTAACATAGAGGTACATTAAAAAAAACAGTGTGTTATGACAGACAGGGCTACAAAGGAAACAGATTTTCTTCCATTGACAATACATTAATACAGCACAGACTGGACAACAGTGTATTACACACACACACACACACACACACACACACACACACACACACACACACACACACACACACACAGGTAGCAGAACAAAGCCTTTTAGACAGAAATAAAACGCGGATGGAGAGAGGAGCAGCTGTGAGGAAGGAAGGAAACAGGGAGGACTTCTGGAGGTTAGGGAAAGATGGAAAAGAAAGAACAGATGAAAAATCAAATGAGACATGAAAGAACAAATAAAAGAAGAAAAAATATGAAAAAGTGAGAAATGAGGAAGGAAAGCAAAGACAGCGGATCTAAGAGGGGAGAAGTGGATGCAGGTCTGGAGGTGGTGTGAGAGAGAGTTCAGCATCCTGACGGCCTGATGGATGAAGCTGTCTCTCAGTCTGCTGGTTCTGGCC